TCAGAATGTACCGCCAAAGCCCTCAACAGCAAGGTCCGTACCTGATGGACAGCGGAAGCCTCGAACGGCGGACGCCCCCTCAGCCTGCAAACCAACAGTTCTCTGGCGCCTCCTCACTGGACTCGCTCAACAGCCCGGCCAAGCAGGGCTCTCCTAGTTCCGCCTACCCTGGTGGGCAGCAGCAGCAGCAGCGAATGATCAACATGTCGAACATGTCCGACTACGCGACCATCGGCTCGCCCATCGGCCCACCAGGAAGTGCTTTTGGCGGCGGTGGCGGCCAGGTCGTTTCGCCCACCGGCTCGAGCATCTACGCCAACTACGGCCCGCCGTTCGGCTATCCGAACCAGAGCGGCACACTCTCCTCCATCACCTCCAGCGGCTCCTCCTCGGGGAAGAAGAAGGGCGGCAGCATGAAGGGCAGCCTGGTGAGCCGGCTCTTCAGCAGTGGCTCACTGAGCGGCAAGCGCTCCTCCTCCTCTGACAAGCTCAAGATGGCACAGCAGCAGCAGGCGGCTCATCATCAACAGCAGCTATTTCAACAGCAGCAGCAGCAGGGCATGTACGGCATGGTGGGCACGCCCACCGGCGGTCCACCCGGCCCCCTGACCGCCAACCCGAACAGCTTCTACGGGGGCGTGGCCGCGAGCGCCAGCTTCACCAGCGACTACAGCGACTACATGAGCCACGCGGAGCTGTACAGTAGCGTGGCCAGTTCGGCGAGCTCAGTGCTCAGCTCGCCGGTGGCCACGCGGGCCGACTACGACCGGCGAACGAAGAAGAAGCACGAGCTGCTGGGGGAGGCGATGAAGGCGGGCACGCCCTTTGCCCTCTGGAACGGGCCGACCATTGTCGCCTGGCTTGAGGTGAGTTTTGCTCTTATAAAATCTTGAAAAACCTAACCAAATTTTTAATTCTCTCCGCTAGCTTTGGGTGGGCATGCCCGCCTGGTACGTCGCTGCCTGTCGCGCCAACGTCAAGAGCGGCGCCATCATGTCCGCCCTCTCCGACCACGAGATCCAGCGGGAGATCGGCATCAGCAACCCGCTGCACCGGCTGAAGCTGCGCCTGGCCATCCAGGAGATGGTCGCCCTCACCTCGCCCTCGGCGCCCAAGCCGACGCCCACCGCCCTGGCCTACGGCGAGATGAACCACGAGTGGATCGGCAACGAGTGGCTGCCCTCGCTAGGGCTGCCGCAGTACCGCTCCACCTTCATGGAGTGCCTAGTGGACGCCCGCATGCTGGAGCACCTCAACAAGAAGGACATGCGCGTCCACCTGAAGCTAGTGGACGCCTTCCACCGGACTAGTCTGCAGTATGGGGTCAGCTGTCTGAAGCGGCTCAACTACGACCGGACGATGCTCGAGGAGCGGCGGAAGGCCAGCGAGGCGGAGACTATTGGTAAGTGATGGTGGGAGGGAGGTTTTGAAGACATGAAAAATCTAACCCATTTTTCCTTTATTTGCAGACGTCTTCGTGTGGAGCAACGAGCGGCTGATTCGCTGGGTGGCCAGCATCGGCCTGAAGGAGTACGCGCCCAACCTCGCCGAGTCGGGCATCCACGGGGCGCTGATCGCCCTCGACGACACCTTCGACGCCTCGCACCTCGCCATGGCGCTGCAGATATCGGCGACAGGGGTAAGATTGGAACTGTAAAGTGGATAGCAAAACGGACTCAAACTTCTCCCTTTTTTATCCTTAATCAGGCCCGCAAACAGCTGGAGCTTGCCTTCAATGAGCTTCTGATCAAGGGCACCGAGCGGCGGCANAAAGTGGATAGCCAAACTGACTCCTTTGTTTCCCCCATTAATATTAGGCCCGCAAACAGCTGGAGCTTGCCTTCAACGAGCTTCTGATCAAGGGCACCGAGCGGCGGCAGAATGAGGTAAGTTAGCCAAACAAGTGGATAAAATTGACTTCCTACTGGCTAAAAAGCTAAAGCCCAACTTCTCCTTGTCAACTTCAGGTCTGCGCCGGTGCCGGCTCCCCCCGTCTGGTATCCAGCCTCAACGCCAGCCTCGAGGCTGACCGACTGGTTTAGCTGGAAAGCTTGTCATTCAGCTGGAATCCATTACCCACTACCTAAAGAATCCCTCCATTTCACCTCAACGGCCAGTTCTACTACTAATGATGATCCCCGTGATACGAGTTCTCACAAGGCAATACGACAAAGTAAAACAATACACCGCAACCACAGCAATATCATCGCTCTTCCCAACCCCTCTTCAACCTCTCGTTTTTCATCACCTATTTATTGTCTTCCCCTCTCCTTTTCCCTTTTCTTCACCCATTGTGTAATAAGCTCCCCCTATCTGTTTGAGTAGGTTTGCACTGAAAAAGTGCAAATCTACTTCTTCTTCAGACAGCAGCTGATTGATTGGCAAGTGCTGTGTCTGCCAGTGCAGCACTTTTTTCTCTCCCTTTCTTTCTTTTTACTAGTCACGTACCATCACCACCATCATCAGTGAAATACCTCTCCTGTCTTCGTTTTTTGTCTGCTACATAGTTCTCATCTCATCAACATCATTAACACAGTATCACCGCCATCACCACTACCACTTTTTTCTCCTCCTCCTC